CCACACATAGCATGTGCTCTTTTATTATCCATGGACAAAATTTAGCTCTTGAGTCATATGATGCTTGTTGCTTCTTACAACAACTGATAATCTGGTCCTAATCTATATTATTGCAACCTAGCTGACTGAGCTTCAGCACCCTTGTGAACCTATCAGTGAGTGTAAGAAACCCAGGATCCCAAGATGATAATAGTTTTTGCTTCTGCTTTATTTCTGGCTCCCATTAAAATTACCATACCACGCATTTTGATATCTGGAGGTGGGAGGGTGTCAGAAAGGCATCTGGGAATAACTAATTAGCAAATATAATGGATGATTTAAATTGGGGCCAGTGACAGCCAATCACACATTATGGAGGTAGTGGGGGCAATGGGTGGGAGGAACATTTTACTTGACAGATAATATTTAAGGCTATAAGGGAAAATACAAACCTCAACCACCGGATGGTGATTCATAAACACATACACAGAATAACGTTTAAAAATAAGTTGGACGCAATAGCAGCGCATCTGTTCTCCAGTTGGCAAAAGCATGTGATGCAAGGCGGATCATGTTGCTGTCTGCTGCAATCTGTGTTGCACAGGGGACATCACTGATTTAATTCTCATAAGTAAGAACCAGGTTCAGGCTAAGTAATATACCAATGATTCAAATAAACAAACAAAGGTTCCAGATCTGTTGCTAGCAAACAAGTATGTCAGATGACTGCAAATGCTATCACATTTAATTATCCCCCTGCACTTTTCATTAACCACTAGCTTCTAAAGTTTTTAGCATTAAGCAACTGTATATTTAAACCAATTCTAATCACTTACCCACTATAGTATTTTGTTACTATGTGGGAGGCTGTGGAAAGAATAAAAGAGTGATTCTTTAGATGCTCTACTGTTGATGTGAGATGGTGCAGCCTTATATACCCACAGATATCCTTCTTCATATCAATATCCCTTTCCCAATCCCTGGATCCTGAGCATTATTGCTGGAAGGGAGGGAGAAATTTCAAAATAATAATAATAACAGAATAATAGAGTTGGAAGGGACCTTGGAGGTCTTTTAGTCTAACCCCCTGTCAAACAGAATACCCTATACCATTTCTGACAAATAGCTGTCCAATCTCTTCTTAAAAACCTCCAGTGTTGGAGCACTCACAAGTTCTGGAGGCAAGCCATTCCACTGGTTAATTGTTCTCATTGTTAGGAAATTTCTCCTTAGTTCTAGGTTGGATTGCTCCTTGATTAGATTCCATCCAATGCTTCTTGTCCTGCCTTCAGGTGCTTTGCGGCACCCCTCAAATGTTGGAAGAATGCTATTATGTCACCCTTAGCTCTTTTTTCCATTAGTCTAGACCACAGGTAGGCAACCTTGGCTCTTTTATGATTTGTGGACTTCAGCTCCCAGAATTCCTGAGCCAGCATGACTCAGCTTGGAAACCTCTCCCTTTCCCCTCAGCATGGCTGGCTCAGGAATTCTGGGAGTTGAAGTCCATGAGTCATAAAAGAGTGAAGGTTGCCTACCCCTGGTCTAGACATACCCAGTCCCTCCAATTGTTCTTCGTATGCTCCTCATGGGTCCTTCATCAGATGAAGAGAGAGGATGAGGAGGCAGAAAAAGTTTCAAGAAGCCACCCAAGCCACCCTGTTTTAAAGGACATCTGTTCTGATATTATTTCTAATGATTTCTCCACATCGGCAGTCACTTTTTACATCTCTACCCAGTAGCTCACAATCTATCATTTAAACAAATATTATTTCAAAATATTCAGCAGGGGAAAAGATAGGGAAGCAAGTGTGCTTTATTTTTAAAAATGTTCTACCACAGGCAGCCACCAGAGTCCCATGATAGCCGGCTATTACAGGAAGTTTATCTCCATACCTGATATTTAACATTTCCATTCTTATCAATAGGATCTGAAATGACTAATAGGGAACAGCTGTTTGTTTTTTCTCAATGTTGGGGTTGGGGATCCATACAGAAGTTGATTGCAAACCATTCAGATTGAAAACAGTAACCAAAAATAATAGAGGGAGAACTGTTTGACGAATTAAAAGTACTGACATGGATGGTTAGCTGGCAAAGGAAAAAAGTCAGAGTAAGGCTGAAAGAAACTAGGATTTTGATTTATTAGGGGGGATTTTATACTACTGATTAGAGGTCAAATATATTTTATACTACTGATTGGTTGAATATAGATAATTTTTTTTAGAAAATAAAGTTACATTATAACTGAATAGGTAAGATGTGTAATAAGATTAATAGATTTTTGGTTTAATATGGTGAAAAAAAAGATAATTTTTAGAAAATAGAATAAGATTATATGCAAATAGATAAGATGTATATTTAGAATATTAGATTTTGTTATAAAAAGGGGGAAATGTAGAAGTTGAGATAAGGGAAACTCTAGCCATCTAAAGCTTAGAAATTATAACATACCAAATGTTAAGTTGAATATTGAGGGGAAATTAAAGCCTGGGGGAAAAACTACAACAAGACATTGATGTATATAAAATTGAATGTAAACACAATTAAGATATGTATAAGTTCAAAATTATTGATAAATGTAACAAAGATGGTTTTACTTAGTTGATAACAATTTTGTTGTTAGTTGTGAAGTTGTGTCTGACCCATCACGACCCCATGGACAATGTTCCTCCAGGCTTTCCTGTCCTCTACCATCTTCTGGAGTCCATTTAAGCTCACACCTACTGCTTCAGTGATTCCATCCAGCCACCTCATTCTCTGTCATCCCCTTCTTGTGTTGCCCTCAATCTTTCCCAGCATTAGGCTCTTCTCCAGTGAGTCCTTCCTTCTCATTAGGTGCCAAAGTACTTGAGTTTCAACTTCAGGATCTGGCCTTCTAAAGAGCAGTCAGGGTTGATCTTCTCTAGGACTGACCGGTTTGATCGCCTTGCAGTCCAGGGGTCTCACAGGAATCTTCTCCAGCACCATAGTTCAAAGGCCTCAATTCTTTTGCGGTCAGCCTTTCCTATGGTCCAACTTTCACAGCCATACATTGCAACTGGGAAAACCATGGCCTTGACTATACGTACTTTTGTTGGCAGGGTGATATCTCTGCTTTTTAGTATGCTGTCTAGATTTGCCATAGCTTTCCTCCCCAGGAGCAAGCGTCTTTTAATTTCTTGGCTCCAGTCCTCATCTGTGGTGATCTTGGAGCCCAGGAAGATAAAATCTGTCACTACCTCCTTTTCTTCCCCATCTATTTGCCAGGAATTGAGAGGGCGGATGCCATGATCTTGGTTTTCCTAATGTTGGGTTTCAAGCCAATTTTTGCACTCTTCTTCTTCACCCGCATCAAGAGGCTCTTTAGTTCCTCTTCACTTTCTGCCATTAGAGTGGTATCATCTGCATATCTTAAGTTGTTGATATTTCTCCTGGCAATCTTAATTCCAACTTTAAGAATCATCAGTATGAGATAGTAGATATTAAGGGAAAAAGAGAGGAAATATCTGATGTTGTAACTTGAGATTTGTGCTAAAGAATTATGTATGTTATGGAATCATTGATTATCTAGTCACCACGTTGCTTTTTAAATGTTTAATTGTAAAATTAGAAAATTAATAAAACATTATGAAAACAGTAACCAAAATCCAGGGCCTGAGGATCAAACATGCATCACAATTCACCACCACTCCTTATCCACCATTGGACATACATTGGCAGCATATCTCCAGGTCCAGGCATTTGCAAGCCATCTGTCTGAAAGTGCTTGCACGCAACTGAAGGCCTATGACAAATATTCTTGTATTACTCGTCCATATTTGGCTCATTTAGCATTCTTCATGGGTATCAGATGCAGACCTGCCAACTTGCTTAGTTTGATGGAGAGACATTTAATGTTAAGGCTAATTTCCTTCCTCTCAGCTTTCACTGATGTTTCCTAAGCAGTGTTATTGTCAATTAACCTAAATTGCCCCCAGGTTTGAGCTAGATTTGCTAGATCAAGGCCAAAATAATAATTAAAACAACAACAACACAGTCTGGACACCTAGGCATAAAGCACTCCAGTTCATTCATATTTAGCCATGCTTTAAAATTAAATTTTGGGGACAGAAGATTTGGCTCAGAGGAAAAGAAAATGCACATGTAGAAAAACCTCTGCTTCATTCCCCAGTTGAAAAGATTCAGTTGTAGGTAATGGGAAGAGTTCTTTTATTTGATATTTCAAAGAAAAACTGCCAGAATAACACTATATCTTTCACAGAACCCCAACACTTCAGCTTTAATAGGTTTTTATGAGCCCATGTGGTTGAATATTATACTGGAGCAACCCCATTCAGGTCAAATGCACATTCAGCCATGAAACTAATAGGGTACATTAATATTATTCTCTCTCTTCTTAATCGGTTTTGCAGGGTTAGGATGAAGATAAAATTGAGAGGGGAGCATCTTACACACCCGAGTAGAATTTCTGAAAGAAAGATACAATTTAAAGTTCTCTGCCTTTCTAGGAAATAACGAGAAAACAACTTTATTTGGTAGTTATAGTAGCATTCTCCAACTCAGAAGCATCCTGAAATGTTGGACCAAATCCCATAATTCCCATCCAATAGGGGCCAGGATACAGGATGGAGTCAAGTTGGAGAAGGTGAGGTTACATGTAGAAAAATCTTTTGCTCTCCTATTGAGCTCAGCAACTTATCTACCTGTTCCCTCCCATCCCCTCTTTTAACTCATTATTAAATATCTGTTGATCAAATGCTGGCAAATTAGAAAATGCTAGCCTTGGTGCGCTGGTCTTAGAAAGCGAAGCAAAAAGGGCAGCAGCTAGAAGAGTGGAGGATACAGCCAAATCTTCTGTTCAATTTCCAAACAGGGAAGGAGCCACAGATAAGCCTTCTTGAGGCTGATAATTATCCTCCAGAGAAACCCAGCTCTTTCTACCCCAGTGGCAACTTTTAACACAAGGCCAGCACTTCCCTTCTAATACGGTATTTACTGGAGATGGGTTGTTGCCATGGCAAGTGCTCTCCTGGGCCTCAACCGCCCAGGAGGCTGACCTTCCCATTTAAGCAGAATTCAGAGGTCTCGTTCAGCAGCTCTGAAGAATTAGTTGCCCAGTGAGGGAAGTGGATTTTGGAAAGTAGAAGTGAGAAGAAGTAAGTTTTCTCAGCCCTCTGGGATAAAGAAGTTGGCCTCGGCTTTACTCGCCCGTGTGGTCTGGTGTTTTTTTTTGTTTTGTTTTGTTTTGTTTTTAGGGGGTTTCTTGGAGTACTGAGGAGCTGATTGAGCATCTAACATTTCAGTCTCTTGCTGCTCTTGCTAGAATTAAATAGGCCTGCAGAGTGCCCAGGAAGAGCTGTGAATCTAATATTCCTCGGGCAGTGTTAATACCAATGGCAGCCAATGCATGGCTGTAATCTTTTCCCATTTTGTTTGTCTGCTACAGGATCTGACCTCCCTTTCAAGCTTTGAAGGCTGAGCCAAGCGGAGGCGGTGGGTTTGGCTGGAGATGAAGTCTCAGGAACAGCTGCCTCCACACTGATGAGAGTCAGGCCTCTTCCCTCTCTGGCATCATCTTTGTAACCTAGCCACCCCTTCGACCCAATCCAATGGCTCCAGGTCTGCCACCAGCTTCCCATTTCACTTCAGTGCCAGCCAGTGGGCAGATTTAGATGTTCTGTTTATTTAAACGGCTTTATACAGAAATGGCTATGTGGCAGCCAATCAGCTACATCAAGCACACAGAATGATTTTCCCTGGTGCAGAAAAGACTGGACTGGGGAGGGTGTAGAGTCGATCCAAATTTGACTCAGAATTATCACAGTCACACTCTTCCTCTGGCTCCTTCCCCAAGTGTGGGTGCCTGGTTTATAGGCAGAAACAAATCCTAGGTGCTAAAAGAGATCGTATCTGATGGTACACAACAGCTTAGTACCCACTGGGTATTGATGCTGCGTATTGATCCTCTGTTGCAGAATGAGGAATTATTATGGTTTGTTACCCAGTCAGCCAGATGTTTAGACTGGATTTGTCATTATTATCTACTATTGAGTCCTTCTTTTCTAAGGACCTGGGCTAGGCAGATGTTGTTCTTTCATGATGTTAAGTATTGTTGAAGGATGCAAGCTGTTCTAAGTAAAGCTGCCCTTTGCAATTGACTGATGATGATTTATCAATACCAATGGTGTTCAAGTGGTGCACCTATTATTACCGGTAATATCTTTGTTTTGCAACAGTCGTTCTACTTCTATTTACAGGTCTTTATATATTATTATTATTATTATTATTATTATTATTATTATTATTATTATTATTATTATTATTGATCATCGCACAGTCAGCCCAATGTTCAGACTGGATTTGGCATTTTTGTCTACCTATCGAGTCTTTACCAAGGACCTGGGATAGGCAGATGTGGATGTTTGATGGTATTACAGATATCGTTGCAGGATGGAAGCGTATTACAGATATCGTTGCAGGATGGAAGCAGTTCCTAGTAAGGCCGCCTTTTGCAATTGACTAATGGCAAATTTGTCAATGCCAATGGTGTTCAAGTTGTGCTCTAGTTGTTTTGGGATTGCACCCAAGGCGCCTATTACTATTGATACTACCCTTGCTTGCCTTTGCCACAGTCTTTCTATTTCTGAATTTGTAGGTCTTTGTATTTTGTTATCTTCTCCAGTTCTTTCTCGTCTATTCTGCTGTCTCCAGGCACTGCCAAGTCTATTATCCAGAATTTTTTGTCTTTCTTATCAACAATTGTTAAGTCCGGGGTGTTATATTGCAGGTGCTTGTCTGTTTGAATTCTGAAGTCCCAGAGCAATTTAACTTTATCATTTTCTATGACTTTCTCTATTTTATGATCCCACCAGTTCTTGCTTACAGGCAAATGATATTTCTTGCAGCTCTTCCAATGCACTATTGTTGCTACTTTGTCATGCCACTGCTTGTAGTCAGTCTGTGCGATCCTCTTGCAGCAGCTTACCAGGTGGTCTACTGTTTCTTCAGCTTCTTTACATGGGCGGCACTTACTGTCTGTTGCTGTCTTCTCATTTTGACTTTATATGCATTTGTCCTTAAGGTTTGGTCTTGTGCAGCCAGAATTAGTGCTGCTGCTGCTGCTTCTTCTTCTTCTTCTTCTTCTTCTTCTTCTACTTCTTCTTCTTCTTCTTCTTCTTCTTCTTCTTCTTCTTCTTCTTCTTCTTCTTCTTCTTCTTCTTCTTCTTCTTCTTCTTCTTCTTCTTCTTCTTCTTCTTCTTCTTCTTCTTCCTCCTCCTCCTCCTCCTCCTCCTCCTCCTCTTCTTCTTCTTCTTCTTCTTCTTCTTATTATTATTATTACTATTATTACTATTACTATTATTCCTCCCAACTCCCAGCAATTCTGGATGGTTTACAAATTGTTAGAAACATTTTAAAACAAGGCAACAATGGAAAACTGAATCAGGGAATGAGCTAGTCTCTACCTTTCAGGATATGCTGTAGTCCCATTTCCTGACTGAACCCTCCAGCATAATCTTCACAGGCATAAATACTTAAGATGTTGGAAAACAATACCTGGGGCTTCTGAACGCCAACAGATTTATCACAAAAAGCAACCATGAACTAAAAAGTTCTGATTGCTCAATTTTCAGGGCAATATCCACTTGTAAAATGCAAGTATATGTGTGTCTGTGGGTGGGAGAGTTGCTATTCCATGTGGAAAATAGGATTTCATCTGCAATCCTGTAGTTTCTCTCCACTGGCTTTGGCAAGAGGTAGGATTCCAGATAGATCATATGCAGGTGGCTGGAAAAGAATGGACTACTGAACCAAAGACGAAAGTTAGGAAATATCACTTCTCAAAGGCCAAGGACTGCAGACTATGGACCCTGGGGACAAGACCCAAACATGTGAATTGCTATACTACCATTTCAGCTTGTAGGCAGAGAATATCAATTAGTTAATATTAGCAGTCTATTTGGGAACAAATGCACAAGTAGCAATGAGAATGTAGTAGCCTGAGCTCTTTTGTCCACATGTTTGGTTCCAGATCATCTTCTTCTCAAGAAAGTCACATCCAACAGTCCCTGGAGTCTCAGGTGTTGATGAGTATCACATTCCTGAAGTTTAATGGCAGAAGCATCACATTCGGCATCATGTAGAATTCTTGTATGACTTCTTCTGAGCTGCTTAACTGATGAATATTTCCACACAGTCCTAGATTATTCAAACCTCTGGTCTCTGGGATTAACACCTATTTGAATAAATCTATTATAATGACGATTTTTTTTTTTAAAAAAAGAATTTTATTTCAACACAACAATGGGACAGTAACTTCCAATGCATCTGATGGCAGCAGAAACGTGCAACTTTGTGATTCACTAATTCATGCTGCTTCCAGCATCTCCTACCTGAGGCTTCTACCCCATGCCTAACGATAGGGCTGGATCTGTAGAAAGGGTGATGGGGCTATTGCAGCATGTCTAGATTGCAGCTCTGTCATCATATTTTCAGTGCAACCCCATTAAACATGGAAGGCTGAGATTCTCCAAGACTGCTTTGCCCAACCAAATGCCTTCCAAATGTGTTAGACACCTGTACTTCCCAGCCAGTGCTGCCAAAACAAAATTCCATGTCACCTATTTTCTGTACGGGAGAAAAATTAATTACTGAGAGGGATGTATTTCAGAAAAATGACAGATGGCTACTTTAGGCAGAGAGATTTTTTAGTATTATTCTCAAAGGGACAGGAGATATAAATTCCATGTGATAGGAAACTTCCAGTCAAAGCCAAAAGATACAACTCCTTAAGGGCAGATTGGTGAATGGTTAGACTATAGTGAGAAAATGCAACAAGGAGCTAGACCCAGAAAAAAATAATCCAAATCAGAAAGTGTATCATAGGGCACACGAGAAGCAAAATATTTTGTCTAATGAAGCACTCTGGAACATCAATACATTAACGGTCACACTTCAGTATTTTCTATGAGTTTGGCAGCTCAGACGTTCTCTCCTCGTCTAATGGAAAGTATCTTCCATTTTTCAGAAAGCATCACTTAGCTGATGCACTAACTTCAAAACCCTGAGTTTAATTAATCAACTATAAGCCTGTGGAAGCATTCTGGAGGGGTTTGCCAATTGTTTTTTGGCAGGGTTCCCATGCCCATAATTGCTCCCTGACCGCACAAATTCAACAGATAAAAATGCATTTCCTATTGTTTCATCACCAAACTGAGAAACAGCATCATCTGTTAAATTTTGGCTCAATGGACATATGCATAAACACTATGGCGTCGGAATTTTTGGAGCATACCTATCGTAGATTTTTCATTACAAACCTTACATATCTGTAATTTTTTTTTTAAAAAAATGAATAATGTTATCTTAAAATAATACAGAATGAATGCCAATGAATGAATTTGAATTAAACCAGGACTGTGTCATCTGATGGTTTTAGGTATATTACAACTGTCAGTTATTGTACAAAGACAGAACATTTCAATTTAAACCTTATAACAGGATCATCAGCTCTACATATCTTAGCCAATGGGGATTTATGGCCCATTATCTTGAGATAAATCAAAATATTCATCAAAAGAATCTGCCTTCAGAAAACCTAGAGCAAGCGGTAGGCAATCTGACAGAGTACAATCTATTATGGACTACAATTCAAGATCTTCTGTTACTGGCAATAGCTGGGAGTTGAGACCCAAATATCAGAATGGTAGCTGGAAGCTATTCCTACTTTGAGACAGTGAAGGGAAATTACTAATATGTACATATTGTCTTCACACCTGTTTTTATTGCCATAGGTCTGCTGGTCAGTCTTGATGAATTTCTGGATGTTTCTGGACATTGTATCTGATATTTCTCTTGATGTCCTACTTCTTTTTTCAGATAGAAAACCTAAGAGTATTCATTGAGAATTGATCTTTCTTTTTCTTTTTTTTTTTTTGAAACACATTTTATTGGTTTTTTTTAATTCTTAAAACAAAGTACTCAGGATACACCGTGGTGCTGGGGTAATCAAACAACCTAGAACAAAACATATATACATAGTACAATCAATATATCAGGTATTCCCTCTCTTTTTCCCTCAAATAGCATAGTATATTTAAAATATCCAGTTCTAGCTTAAATTTATTCCACCTGCACCTGTTTTAAAGCTTTATAAATTTAGAATACCGTAATCAAGTTAGCTTTAAATAAAAACCTTATCAATTCAGGTATCCCTTCCACATATATTCTAATTCCTTAATTTTATCATGAATTTTGTTTATTTCTTCTTCCATTAATCTCCCCTATTTAAAATAAAATATTAATCTATCCTATACCTATCTAATCCATCAATTAATCAATCTCTTTAAACTGACAGAATAATATCAGACCTTAAATCATTTCAATCCATTAGACAGAATTCAAATTTCATCCAGTTAATTATCATAACTAATAACATCCATGTCATCAAACAAACACATCATCTTATTAAATTAACTCGATTAATTAATAATTCAATCCAAATCTAAAACATCTCAATTTTCTTCATTCCATTACATAATAATTTTCATACAAATAAACGTATTGTTCTAAAAAATACATTCTTAATATTCTAGATTATCTTTAATCCATTATATAGAGGATATCTCATTTTTAAACAAAAATATTGATCTATCCTATATATATCTAAATGTACATGTCTATCTATCTATCCTATACATATCTAATCCCTCAATTAATCAATCTCTTTAAGCTGACAGAAAAGTATCAAACCTTAATTCATATCAATCCATTAAGCAGAATACAAATTTCATCCAATTAGTTATTACTGCTAATAACATCCATATTATGAAACACACAAGTCATTTTAATTGATTAACATTCAATTAATTATTAATTCAATCCAAGTCTAAAGCATCTCTTTACTTCTAACTCATAATCTTAATCCTTAAATCAGTCCATAGTTCTAGATTGCCTTTAGTCCAATGCATAAAATTTTAAATTTCATTTTTCAATCTTACTCTAGCCTTCCTCTTTTGCCAGGCAGGTTTCCATAGCAGAGCTTCCCTTCCAGCTGATAAGTCTCTTTTTGTTGCTTGTAGTGTCCTTTGATTCAATGAAAACCATCTTGGCCTCTGCATTGGCCCTCTGTTTCTCTTATCCATAAGTCCTCGTTGCTTCAAAAGTTCAAAACTCAGTCTTTGCTTTTCCTGGTCCTCAAAGTCATAAGTAGACTGTTTATAAGGCAAAATAAATTTCTCTTTATTCTCAATTAAATCCTCTTCTTGTATAATCTGTTTTGCAGAGTAGTCAGTTGTAATCTGAAAGTCAATTTTGAGGTTTACAGTAGAGATTCTGGCTCTTAATTCTATAGTAAACTCTTTTATTGTAGTGCATATCTCTTCTTTGGCCTTATAGATCTTTTCCAGTATAGGTTTACAGTTTAAATGTGATTGAGGCTTCTCCATTTTAACAATAGTTGAAAAGCAATCCTTTTTTTCTTTTTCTTTTTTTTTCTTTTTTCTTTTTTGTGGAGGCTACAGCTGAAGAGTATCCACCCCCACAAATTTCACAGCTGGCTCAAATTATCTTGTCTCTTGACAAATAGTTTGAAGGCCAAAATCATCTCCAAATAGTCAACAATTACAATATTAACTTTTGACCAGTAGATGTCCCCAGTAAGCTAAAAAGTCTGTTTCAAACGCCATTTTTCCCCTTTTCTATTTCTTAAAAAAAGAGTGGAAAAAGAAATATTCTCCCAATATAAAATAATATCACTCCTCAAAAAAAAAAAGAATTTTTTCTGCACCTCAACGTAGATAGAGATAAAGTATAGTCTTTAAATGAATTTTTTTCTGTCCTTTTATAAAACCTTTGTTCCCACCATTACAAAAGCCGCTTTCTCCAGAAGGGGAAATAATTCCAAGGACAAGCTTTTATAGGCAAAAACAGCATGGGGTGAAGAGAGGAACAAAAAGGGTCTCACCTGGATCCTCCACGGTGGGTCTATAATGCTTAGATGACAATGTGACTTTCGGCTGGTGCAGCAGGGTGATCGGCCATCTTGCAGGCTGATCTTTGCTCCGTAGGCCCTAAGGAGATAGCTGGAGACATGGGGAAGCTGTGTCCCCTATCTACCAGCAAACCTCCTTCTCAGTGGTCGCCCCTCCAGAGCGACTTTCGACCCCCTAGGGGGTCTACCGGCGAAGGAAACTTCGGACAGCACGGAGACAAGTCTCCAGGCATAATCAGCGTCGCCGTATTCCGGAACCGGAAGTCAGAATTGATCTTTCTTGATGTGGATGCTTTATTGCCAAGAATAGATTGAAAATAGAGTACGGTCTACTAATATCTCTGGGTGATTTGTAGTAGATCATCAAGGATTTCTCGTTTGCAACCAAAAAAACATAGATCCCTTTTCCTAAGCTGCTGTGCTGAAATGAAGATGTTGGGATAATCAGCAATGGAAGGATTATGTTCAGTTCTAGTTCTCAGAACAAATCCTAGCATTTAGCAGTTTTAATAGCAAAAGCACTTAGACGTATATACTGCTTTGTAGTGAGTGGTGGGATTCAGCTGGTTCACATTAGTTTGGCAGAACCGGTAGCTAATGTTTTGTTGCCTAGGCCCAGAATGGACTTCTGGAAGCGGCATCCACAGAGAACCGATTGTTCGCATATTTGAATACCACCACTGTTCGTAGTGCTTTATAGCTCTCTCTAAGTGGTTTACAGAGTCAGCATGTGTCCCCCAACAATCTGGGTCCTCATTTTACTGACCTTGGAAGGATAGAAGGCTGAGTCAACCTTGAGCTGGTCAGGATTGAACTGCTGGCAGTGGAATGCAGAAGTAGCCTGCAGTACTGCATTCTAACCACTGTGCCACCATGGCTTTTATAATGTAGATATTTTGTCCACTAGGTACCAGTTGGAAGAAAATCTGCTGGTCTAAAGTTTGCCGTTCAATTGTCTGTTTGCTGATACTTGAATGCCGCCTCGGTCCTTGATCCTGCACAGCTCATAAAAAGGCACAATGCAATATAACAAATAAATAGAAATCAAAACAATCTATCTGCATAATTGCATTCATCACC